GTGACGCCGGTTTCAATTCAGCATAGTTTTAATAAAGGCCAGCTAGTCCGACTAGCGGCAACAGCATCGATTTGGTTAGAGCCGCGCACCCATTTCGCCAGTCCATCTAGCGCGCCGCGTATGCTAGCCGGAACGGAGTTGGCTAGCCACCTGTCTACGAACGAAGCATTCATGAAACCCGACTCAATCGCGGTAATGGCTGCGCTCAGAACGGACTACGTGGCTACCACATCGAGCTAGACGGTTTTGCCAGGCACAATATACACATGCGCCACTACAAACCCTTCTTCTCCACCGAAGCTACCATATGGTGATAGATCGACGACAACTTGTTTGCTCACACATTATTCGAGTCTTTGGACGCGGCGATTTGTATGTTCGTGGTTAAGTGAGCTTGTCCTCGGACTTCGTCCTCGGTCGGCTGCACTACTTTGCCTCTTATCCTCATCGCACTTGTTGGTTGCAGGCTACCCACTGCCGTATGTTATATGCTGGAGTCAAGATCAGAACTCCTCTAGAGCTTGCTAGAAATTCAGTTTTATCTTATATGAGAGGGTTTCTGTGCTCCGCACCTCATGTCCTCTCCATTTCTCTCTTATCAGTAGCCAGGCGACATGCCCGACGGCCGCTCAGCGCAGCCACGGCACTGCACCACTACTTAGTGCTAGGGTAGAGTTTTAGATCTTGAACTCCAAGCTTCTCTCTTTGCGTTAGGAATTGTTTTGTAGGCAGCGCCTTGGTTAGAATGTCTGCAGGCATCTCTGTGGTCGCACAGTAGGCTATCTTAACTCGACCGAGCCCTCCAAGATCTCTTGTAAATAGATACCGTATTTTAATGTGCCTGTTGGTTTTGTGGTTTCCTGGATTCTTAACTATGCTGATAGCGACATTACAGTCGAGGAAGAAGTTAGTGGCTGGCATGTTCACACTACCAGCTGCGGAATTAAGAAAGATTACATTTTTTGCACGACATGTGCGGAGTGTCTTGTTCCCCAAACGGCTCATAGGCGTGCGATTCTGCACATACGTCATGTAAATGAGTGCTTCCGACCACCAGCTGTGTGCCATAGCAGCATCATTTAAAGCACAGCGAACTCTGCCAAGTTTGCTCTGGCGATCTCTCTCTGCAGCTCCATTTTCTTCGGGGCTATAACTATTCGAAGTCTGAAAGACTATCCCTGCCCTTTGCAAAAGATTTTAAAGGCGGCGTTCACGAACTCCGTGCCTCCGTCGGACCTAATCCGGAGAATCGTGAACGTTCTAGCTGCAGAAGCAACTCTTTGACCTTTTTAAGGACCTTTTTGCTGCGGAGGACATAGGTTCAATGCCACAATGTGTAGGCTCAGGAAGTACTGAATAGTCCCTATGCTTCCGTATACTCCCATAGTTTTCATGGGTCCGTTTGTGTCCATGTGGATCACACTAATGGGTTGTGTGTCCCTTGAGCCTTTAGTATTTCTATAGGACATCCTCCTCTTTTTCATCCGTACGAAATGGTGTATGGGATACCTCCAGATGTGAGTAATCAGCCCGGTTGGGGGTCAGTGTGTTTTGCATATCCCGGCTGCCCCAAGAAAGGACAAGAAACTGTCCGCCAGAGCGCTAAAGTGCCGAATTCTTGGGATCTCAGAAGGAACTAAGGGTTACCGCTTGTGGGGCGTCTATAATAATAAGTCATCAAATCCTGGTATGTGCTGTTTGACACTACTAATGTAGCCACTATGGTACAGCGGGCCTTCGGCAAGACCCAGCCTGATCATATACCGAAAATGCCGGAGCAGTGGGAGCGTCTAAACGGCAACGTGCGGGACTGGTGGAAGAACCAAACCAGAGAACACGTCCGCGCCGAGAGTCGGAGAGACCTCAGAGGTATCAAGATTATCAGTGCTTCCAAGCTATTTTGGACAAGAAAATCGCACTCGATATATTTAAGAACAAAGTGCCTACACCACGGTCAATAAAGGAAGCCTTTCGACTACAGAGGCATCGTTGGTTCACTCCAATATCTAGTCCGCGAGACACGACCGGACACTGTCAATACGGTAAGAGAACTTAGCAGATTTATATCGTGCTACAACCGCACGCACTGGGATGTGGCTAGGCGGTACTCAAATCCTTGAAAGAGACGTCGACGTACGGTCTGTTGTTTGATGGGAAAAAAGAGCGTCGTGACTTACGAAGTGTACACAGACGCGATCTTCGCGCGTCTACCAAAAGAACACAGCTCCGTAACCGGCTATGTGATTCAAATGGCTGGTACTAGTGTGTCATGGTGCAGTAGTAAGCAGGGAGGTGCTTTCCTGTCTACCGCAGAGGCAGAACTCATCGCACTCAGCGAAGGAGCCAAAGAGAGCGAGTGGCTGTGGCATCTACTTACAGAGAGATGGGATTTCCGCTAAAGCTTCCTGTGAGCTTGGTGCAACATGTTTACCAGGGTTTCTTTATTGATGTGGCCAAGGTTTAAATGCCACTCCTGCAATGTGCTCTCAAACTTGCCGCTTCCAGGCAGAACTAGTGGCTTACAAGGCTGCTGCTTTACTGCGTTGCAGAGCACTTGCCTCTCTTTTACTGTTTTATTTTGCACATAGTATGCGCCGTTAATTGTTTTTGCCACAAACACAAGTTCGTTCTCCGAAAGTACAAATTTGAACTCTCCGGTGTGAGATCCAACAATTCGGTACCCCCCTTGTTTCAGCCAGAACTCGCTGAAAATGTTCGATGATGCTTGGGGAACCAGCGCAATATTTTCGAACAGAAATGGTCGGATCCCACTAAGTCCATGCAAATACACTTTCACTGTTCCAATGTGTGTATTCGAGTGTTTAGACTCCTGTGCGAATGTAAACATGTAGCCTGTGTCGGGGTTCTTCTCCACAACCTTCGCCCCGTCACATGTTAGTCCGAGTCCACATCTTGAGTCCAAAACCCATGAATCTGAGGTTAGAAATGAACCAGAGTCAAATAATTGAGGATTTTCACAGCGTACCTTGTCCTCCGGCCTCATCTGCATGCGGCCGAACTCCTTCCTGGTCTCCGTGAACGCGACGTACTCCGGCGTTGGCTCCGCCTGTCCAGCGTTCGCACCAACTTCAATCGACGCCGGTGGGACTTCCGCGAGTAACGCGTCGATGTCCTCCATGTTCTGATCCCGGCGTCGCCACTTATTGCATAGCGCTGGGCAGGCTGATGGACACAGCAGGGCTCGTGGGCGTATCTGCCTGTACCGCGTCAGCCGCCAAGTTGCGAGGAGTGGGCAGCCTGCTTAGCGGTCACCGGCTTCACCACCACCTTTCCCTTGCGCTTGTTGTTGCCCTTGGTGCAACCCTTGCTGCAGCCCTTGGCTGCCGCCTTCAATGTAACTTTGTAGGCGAGGCGCTCCTCCTTACTCTTGCCCTCCCAGATGTTGCGGCGGGGCATCTTAAAAGGGCCGTTACGATCCAGCTTCATATTCGGGCAATCGGCCTTGAAGTGCGGCCCGATGTTGCCCATGTCGTCGAACTCACCGGCGCAGTAGAAACACGTGCGAGTGCCCGTGTTGTAGTGCTGGCCCTTAAAAGGGGCACTCTGCGCCTGGTACTTGCCCAGCGTGCTGCCTCGCGGCTTCGATGCAGCTCCTCCTACGTCCCGTTGCTCAGAGCCGCGATGTCGGCCCGGCTTTTGGTCCCGAAGATCGCGACGAGCTTGCTCTCCACCTTTTCCAGTGTAAACTCCTCGGGGGTAAACGCGATGGCCGATCGCCACAGGTGCCCAGACAGAACCGCCAGTACCTTGATCAGCATCTGCTGCCGCGATATCAGGCCGGTCTTCAACGCCTCGCGGTTGTTCCTGTTGACCTGGTCTCTTGCCGCTTTGAGCGCTTGGAACAGGTACCTCACAGTTTTGAAATCCGATGCGGCAATCGCGTCAAATATCTGCACCAGTTCCACCACGCCAGACGCGGTATTGAGTCCGTACCGCTTCTCGATGGTGCGGCAGATCTCGTGCACCTGGTGCCTCGTCAACCGCTTGTCGGCACACAACCCAGCCGGGAGGGTTCGGTTTAGCAGGTCCTTGATGTAGGACGACTGCTGCAGGATGAATGCCGACTGGAGCGCGAGGCCTGTTTTCGCATCAGCCGAGGCGTCGTCGCCTGGCTCTTGTAGGTCCGGCTCCCGCACAAGTGCATCCTCGTAGCGTGCAACAGGGATCTGCCGACCCGCGTGCAGCTCCGTCACCACCAGCGCGTCACTCAGCGCAGTAAGGTGGGCCTGACTCAGTCCTTCCAGCCAGCAAATAGTGCCTTCTTCCCATGGAAAGTCCTGGTGCTCAGCGTGTTGGACTTGCTCATCTTACTTGAAATGTTAACACGAAAACTCAAAATCTTTGCCAATTTAATGTGCGTGTATTAGTTTGGTTACTCTATTCCTAAATACCCTGCTCTTAGGCGTGCTCAGTCTGAGGCAAATGAGAAAGTGAGCTCGTCCTCGGACTTCGTCCTCGGTCGGCTGCACTTCTTTGCCTCTTATCCTCAACACTGGTTGGTGGCAGGCTACACACTTCCGTCTGTTATATGATGAAGTTCAAGATCAAACTCCTCTAGAGCTTGCTAAAAATTCAGTTTTATCTTATATGAGAGGGTTTCTGTGCTCCGCACCTCATGTCCTCTCCATTTCTCTCTTATCAGCAGCCAGGCGACATGCCCGGCGGCCGCTCAGCGCAGCCACGGTGCTGCGCCACTCAACACTAAGCATAAGCAAGGTGATGTTCTGTTTACTTAATGCAGTTGGCCGGTTAAGCGACTGACTTCTTCTGCGATGTACATTCACACTGCACTGGACGAAGCCGCGAAGAACGACGTGATCGTTTGGCAGGTCAGACGTTGTACTCGCAGTTCGCATTATCCTCGTCGCTCCGGCATCGTCGTCTGAGAGTGTGGCAACTTTGGTATACGGTACGTGCTTTCTTCTTGTCTGGCCTCGTGCTGGACACGCACGGAGGCACGCTCGATTTTTCCTGCTGCGCAATACGTCTTGAAATCGTTCGGCCATCGTCTCAGGAGCTCGAACATCCCCACTGTTGTGCAGCGTCATTGACAGCCTATTTGCCTGCGAATTTTGCTTAGCCTTGTCAGCTAGTTTTTCCGTGATACGCTGGATTACGTGGAATGGATCTTGTTTTGTTTCGATGACGTCTCCGGATACTTTTGCTATGATGCTACGGGTTCTGTTAGCACACACAAGAGGTGGGGTGACGCTCATGTGTACCACCAGAACAACCAACTTTAGAATCGCTGCTGATTATTCGTGTTCTTTGAGCGTGTCAACCCCCTAGCTACAATTCGCCCAATTTGTTTTTACACTAAAAGCAACATACGTACTTTCGGTGACCGCTCTTTCTTACCATCAGAGCTGACGATTTTAAACTTTCTGCAACATTTTGGCTAATGGTCGATGTGAAATACCCGATTGCACTTCCCCTGTGAGATTTTTGCTTCTAGCAGCCTTGAACACATCTCGGTCTGAGACAGACATGCGCCTTGCAGCGCTTCTTCGACGATGCAAGCATTGTAGGTCATGTGATCTTCAATCGTTGGTAACAGAGGGGGTAAGTTGGCGTTTCCTTGTTTCGCAGTCTCTACAGCTACAGAAGCAAGAGCTTTGACGTGGCAATATCCCTTTTGACGCGTTCTCGTCACGCTGCTTGTGCACCCAGAAGTCCCTCTCGTGGTGAGAATGCTGTCCAACAAATCAAACATATCTTTTGATATACCTCCTATATACCTTAGTAAACAAGGAGATGAAAGCAGAACAGCTTTGGTAGAAGATATATAAAGATCGTCAGCAGTAGAAAATACAGTGCCCTTAGACTTACCTGTACAACTGTATCGATCGTGGTACATTATCGTTTCAATGTCGTCTACCATGCGACTCGTCTACCCTTTACTGACGGAGTGCATGTACAGCCCCTTACAAAGCACGAAGCCTTCCGCGTATCTGTCAAACACTTAGGAGCCCACGTAATCATACAATACGTCAGTTACGCTGATAACCGCCAATTCTTATGGCATTTCAGGCAGCTTAAGAATGGGAAGGAGCTTCCTCAAGGTTACGGCCACTCTCACTGCATCTCGAGCAGCACTCTTTTCATTCTAAAGACTGCGAACTGTAAGTAGCTGTCCTCACATGTGATGTACTAGATGTTGTTTTTCTTCATGGCTCACGGGCGCTTCTAGCACACCATGCACATGCCCGAGTGCGCTTCTTATACCTCTCTTTTGTAGCCGCTGCTTACTTGAGGTGACAGGTGGGCAGTAGATATGACCGTCCAAATGCGGCTTCAGCTTGCCGCACGCGCACTTGTCCTGGCCCTTCTTAATGTCGCACCCAAGTTTGCGCCTCATCTGAAACCACTCACAATAGATTCCTTTGTCAACATCGGCCAGCTCCATGCGGCAATTCACACACTAATGCTCGCTCTCATCCGTCTTGTGCCTCTTCTCGCGATGATTGAGCATGCGGGTGTGGGTCGTCAATCTCTTCAACGTGGCGCGGAGGGTCTGCGCCTCCCGCCTCTTCCGTCGTCAAGCCCTCGCTGGCATGGACACCACGAGCTGCTGAGACTGCTTAATCTTAGCCTTCTCTGTTGAACAACTGCGATTCCACTTGGACAGCGTTTTTGGGTAGAATTCTGATGTCAAACTCGTCTGCGGTCTCGTCAACTACAACATAAATAGTAGCAAAATATCTTTTTAAGCAACATGAAAACAATTGTAGTGTATCCCTTTCACTGGGCCCAAAGGGATGTGCGAGGTCTCGATCGACAGCTCCAGCCCCTTGAACGGGTTTGCTGGGCCCGTTGTTGCCATAATGCTTTCGACAATGATCATCTGAGCAAAGCAAAGTTAGCAACAGTTTGTAGAATAATTATAGATGTTACCTAGTGGTGCTGCGTGGTGCTCTTCTTCTTCGGGACGTAGCTTCAACTCCCACGGCCACTAGCTTCTCGACGCGGGGGTTCTCAGACGGCGACAGCGCCATCTTTCAGTCCAGTAGCAGCTGGACCAGCAAAGTATTGACCTTTTCGGTCGGTATCGCCGCAACAGCCGGGTCCGTCAGCGAAAATAGAGAAGACCGCAGTTTCCACTTGTGGGCGATGCGGAACGGAAATGTGTAGACGTCACGAAAGTCGGGATCACCCCGCAAAACAGCTTTTCGGTCTCTCTGTTAATCTCTCGGAAGATGGAGCGTTAAATCTTTAGCGCCCTCGCCAGCGCTCGTTTTGACATGCCGGGCTTCGCAACAAGTTGATCCCTGACCTGGTGCTTCACGCGGATGGGCTCGTGCTTGGGGCCACCCTTTCGTTTGTACCATACGTCCCTCTTCCACCGCTCGCACTTCTTGAACTTCGTAACGACCTTCCGGACAGTAGCCTCACCGAGTAGATGCTTGTATACGACCTTGTAGTAAATAGGCTTTTTGTCGCGAATACAGAGCAGAAGCTTGGCAATGATCTTCTTTCGCATCGCTCGGGCCATAGACTGATTGATTTTCTTGTTCGGAGGCGGCTTGGAGCAGACCAGCGTGTCTCGTGGGCCCTTTTTCTTCTGAGGGCGCCTCCCATAGCGGATTGAATTGTGTTTTTTTTCACTAATGCTCGAGGGTATCTTAGCAGCTGCCCTCCCAAATGAGCTGGAGCTTGCGCGCACTTGCTATGCGCGGAAATATGTAGCGTCCTCGTTGTGGTGCAGGATTGGAGGAAGTAAATGCACCTGACGGGACCGGGTCAGCTCCAAATCAGAATCCATATGGGCTCAGAGCGACGACGAAGGCTCGACTTCCCGCATATTTGGTGTGATTACAAGAAATCGGAAGTAGATGACGAACCTACGGATATTACGAACACGAACGGTTGCATCGCGCAGTGTAGGCGCACTCCACAGAGTTACGGAAACTTGTGCGAATGTGTCATGAGACCTGCAATACATATGTTAGATTTATTGGGTACGACGCGACACGCATTAGCGGGGAAAGAGCATGTTATGCAGGGGTAAAGGCCATCCCACTTTTACCATTCACTTCCTAAGATGTGTCCCTTCCCAGTAGTGTGGCGTAGCGGGATCAGCAAAATCTGCGAGATTGCCAATCCAACTTCCCAACTGCGCCCGAACACCGACTTACGGAGGGGGCCCCCCGATGATCCGTGATCTGTGTGCTGAACTTGGTCACCTTGTGTACCCGTCGGTAGGGCTGGATCTTGCTCATCTGGTGTCTTCCGAAGCGTCCGAGCCTTGAAGAGAGAACAGTCTGGGCGAGACGCGGGGATGTGGGTGGAGCAGTGCGGAAATCTTCACTCTGCTCACGGTAGTATTCCAAATCCAGTGGTCCTGTACTTGGATCTGGCGGCCTGGATCTGGATCCGGCCGGGTTGTTGCCTTTCGTGGTTGTTGTCCTTTACGTTGCCTTTGCAGGTCTTCCTTGGTCGTGTTTGCCGCCTCCAATGACGGTGTCGTTGACAGTTGAGACGGGAGGGACGCACCGGCCAAACAGATAACTCCGGTGGATCTTGGATCTGCATTTGCAGGTAGTTCACTAGGAAGGTCTTGGATCTGGCCGATATATTACTCCAGTCTTACAACCAACACTAGATCTGCTACCGCTAACCTCTCTACGCCGTGTAGGGCCAATGTCGTTCCCGTTTCCAGGCGAGGGAGGAAGCGCTTGCGTTGTACAAGGCAAATTCTGGTCTGATTTATGCTTAAGTTCGTTCCTATCTCAAAGTCCTATCACCATGTGGATCCTATCATCCCATCTGTGCCTACCGACTCTATGGGCTCTCTTTATCTTCATTGCGTGTCAGCTGCTTGCCCGTCGAGTCGTGTTCACAACTTCCTGATTACGCCTGGGTGCAGATCCAGAACCACGTTGGACCTTGGATCTTGCATCCTGGATCCACCTGAGTCCAGATCCAGATCCATCTCAGTCTGGATCCAGTGCAGATCCAGATCCACGTTGGATCTTGGATCCTGGATCCACCCGAGTCTAGATTCAGATCCATCCTAGGCTTGGATCTGGGAAGTGTATGGATCTGCGTCCTATTACTGTCACTCTTCCGGATTTGTGCCGAGGTCCAGATCCGTCACTTGTCTCATCCACTGTCATAACTCTTTTCCGGGAATTGCGCTTCTCCACAGTAGGAAGCAGTGAAAGTGACTTCACCTACTTTTAAGTGGTCTGCATATTCGCGTACGTTCACGCTTCCCGCTCAACAAGGTTAGATGGATTGGTGATAAACGTAGCCTTTGAATGTCTTTTGTAGCCGCATCATGCGGTCCACCGCCTGCTCATCCCCACAACACCACATATTACTATTGTAATTCATCATCGGTAAGCTGGGTTTACGTTCACCTTCCTCATCTTATGCTGACTCTACTCTCGGAATTGAGTATCTTGTCATCTCGGATATAAAACTATACAAATACTGTAAAAACTGCAATTATGCCCCCTCCCTCTAATAGTGCCCCACCCCATGAACTTTGACATCTTTGGCTGGAACTTGCGATAGTGCCCCACCCTCAAATAGAGCACCACCCCAACCTTTTATCTGAAAAATTGAGTTTGATTCCGAGTTTTACCTCATAAATTCCAAATATTTCACATCATGATCTTAAGGTCTGTATGTCGACCAGGGATTGATAGTAATGCGATTTTCTTCTAAAATTACTATAGTAGAATTGACAAGGTCAATTCAATTATACTATTCTAATATTAATCCATTCTAGCGATCCAGAATACTATATTAATATTACTATAGAAATTTAGATTACTACTGTCGACCACCAGGTGTCCTCGTTGATGCTTTTGTTCTCGAGCTGCATGCGACACATCGTTTTCTTGTTGTGCTCCAACAGCACGCTCTTTAGAAGAGTGATAGCTTCATCAAGATGGCGAACAGAGGACTCCAACTTTTTCGATGCCTCTATCTTCCCCAGTGGACAATCGCCATAAGGCCACACCATGTGCACCCTCACATTAGCTGTGTGCTGCCAGCGGTGCAAGGCACCTTCCCACACGTTGGGACTTGCGTGTGGGCGGCAAGCGAGCTCTTGAGCACACAGCAGGTAAACATGAAAGCCGCTGCTTCACCACTCTCCAAGATCACGTAGGGCACATCAAGTTGATGAGAAAGTTCCCACACGTCACGACGGCCGCGGTCCTGACGGTGGTGACGAATCTCGAGGAGGACTCCAAATGCGTCCGCAGTGGCCGAGGACACCGACCTTGGTGCTGCCGTTGGCGGCAGCGTGGACGAAGGGACAGCTGGTGGCGAGGCTGGCTGGGTTTCCGGTGTCAATGATGGCGGCAAGTTTGTCGGAGGCGGCGAATCCAGCGTCAAACCCAGAATTGGTGTCGCCAACATGCCCGCGATGAGCACTTGGAACTAGGATCATGGACGATCTTGGTCGAGCTTGGTCGAGCGAGCGAGTCGGAAAGAGGTTGTTGGCTTGTCGAGCTGCTGGAAGATTGCAGAATGAGCCCAAACAGAAAGCTACAATTTGTAGCCTCCAATAGCTCACTGCAGAGAGCTAGTAGACCGGTCCCGTGCGACGAACCGCGACCGCCGAACGCGCGAGCCTCCCAGCAGCGAATCCGCTTTCTCCATTGAACCGACCGAGTGCCCACATGTTAGCCAATATGTCTCTAGTATCCAAATAGTACTATTATTAGCCGAAAACACAACTAATATCTACTATAGTAGAATATAATCAGCCGACGAAAATTCTACTATTATTATAGTAGAATAATATTATTTACCGGTAATATTAAAATAATTTTACTACTGGTAATATCTACTATCAATCCCTGATGTCGA